AGCTACTGTAAATAACTATTATCTACGTATGTAAATGTATTTGACATTTAAATATTTTAGTGTCCTCCATTAGCTTATAGCTAAAAACATAGACACTTAAATAAAGTTTTTCATTCATTCATTCATTCATTCATTCAATGGACAAAATTCCCAAAGGCAAAGGAAAAGCCGCGGCAAAAACGAAAAAACCGGAAAATGTGCCGAAAAGCAAGAAACTGATCGACAGACAGCTTTCAAAATTACGATGTGGAAAGGGTGGTTCTTGCATGAATAAAAGGAAACCTCGTTCTTGACTTATGTATGATACATTCTGGTTAAACGGCGACCTCTTCGTTCGAAATTTGGACAGAATGGTACTTTTTTTTTCTGCTTTTGGCCTGTTTTTTTCTTACTTTTTTTTATTTTACCTGAGGACTTTTTTCCATCGGCAAAGAATTTTCCATAAGCAAAGGGAAAACGAGCCAAGATGAAAGGTTGCCGCGAAAATTCCCCCAGAGGATTCGCCTAGGTATGAGATTATGCGTTTTTCCAAATAACCCGGACGCTTGTGGAGATTTTGATCTATTTTTTTGAAACGTTAGGCAAAATGTTTGACTTCAATTTAGTCAAATAAAAGAAAAAAGCGATTTCTTTCGGCCTCTGAAGGTGGGAAACAATCCTATGTACTGCGAGTTGACTTTCTTTTTCCGCGTCAGATAATCGACCGCCACAGAGACGTCGATTTCTTTGAGCATTTCCTGAGGAACAGCACGACCTCATATATAAAATGGAAAAATTAAAACTCCCTTGAAGACCATGTAGATTTCACAGCAGTTGCTGAATTGCAAGGAGATTATCTAACGACTGTCACCAAAGTCACTAATTTACTTTCACAGATGTATAACTTTGATTACTAACTCTTCGTCAAGAGATTACAACGAATGTGACGATTTCTCCTACGATTGTCCAATGAACGCCTCTTGTATGAACAGTGAGGGTTCAAACTCCTGTCGCTATCCTGCTGGATTTCGTCTGTGTGGCAAAAATGGCTCAGGTTTGTCAAATTTTTAGACTTTCATTGAAGAAAAAATACTATGGTCTTAAATTGAAATTAACTTGTAAAACTGCTATACCGTGATTATCAACTGAAACCAAGTTTGGTCCAAAATTATAAAAAAATACTAGTTCACTTTTGTAGCTTTGTGATAACAGTTTATTAATTATTTTGGCATGACTCGTGCCCTCAGTTTAATGCCATTGAACATATCTTTCAAACGTTTCCTTGTGAATCTGGCATTTATTTTGAGTATTACTTTTAAAATGATCTTTTTATTAAAACAGATAGTCGAATGCATCTCAGGGTCATTTTCTTGCTTTGCTAAGGCTAAGAGTGTGTCGATACTCCTGGTTCCTACTTCTGTAAATGTTCGGCAGGATACGTAGGAGATGGAAAGATAAAATGTAGAAGAAAATGTAGTAAGAAATCATTTTGAACGGTCAAAACTCTCTTTCCATGTGGTACCAATAGAAATAAAAAAGTCACGACTCCCGAACTCTTGCTCTCTAGAAGGAAATTGAAAAGGAAGATAGGGGAGGAAGGGGAAAGGTTTCGGGATTGTAGGAAAAACCCCAATGTTTCACTGCCTTCTCATTCAGTGTGCTTCTCATGGAATACCAACAGAAGAGAAAATGTCAAAACGGAACCGGTTCCAATATGAGGAATAATAAAAGGACCCTGTAGTGGAAGCAAAGAAACCTGAACGAGACGGAGGTCGATTATTAGTCTTCGTGAGACAACATGTGGGCTTTAGTAGATCAGCGGTGAAGTGGATATTAATTTCCAGGGTTGCAAACGGGTGTCGGCCGATAGAGATTCCTTAAGAAAGTCACTTCAATATTTTTTACGTTTCTGCAGTGAGAGAAAATCGAGGTCTTTGCACCTTCATCATCAAGAAATATCACGCATGATTTATCTATTGCGTACGATGCGACACAGAATAGATTCATCCATCAAATGAAGAATGGAAAGTCTTACTAATTACTTCAGTTGCCATGAAACTCTGACTTAACATTGCTATTTTCTTTACACAGTTACCAATATTTACTAATCGATTGGCAATATTCCTTTTCCACTAGTTTACCTGGGTCTAGTTTCAAATGCTTAATCATTTACATTTTCACTAAGCAGCTTACTGCGCTGAGCAGTACAAATTTGGTAAAACAACCAGCGGTGTTTATGCAATTGACCCTGATGGTTGAAGATTTTGGTTTTGCAAAGATTAACCTTGCCTTATTCCCTCACAAGGCTCTTTTTGAATCTTATGATCCCCCCTCATTGTCAGTTAATTAGCAGTCAATTTTCTATAGCTCCCCCCTTTGTAGTCTGTTGGTGACCCCATCGGTTCCCCCTGAAAGCCATAAGATCCCCTCCGAGAATGCAACCTCAACCACCCGCGGCCTCCTTCCCCATTCGTAAATAATGACTGGTCCCCAACTAAAATCTAACGATAATAACATGATAAATTTTAAGTTGGTGAATCGAAATGAATTCAGGTACAGGTAGCTCACAGAGAAAACAAATTCAAGTACTCTTTTAGTTGTCTAATATTCTTCGTAAGTAGTTCGTTATCGAAAATATGAACTTGATAAAATATAGTGACAATTAGAAAAGTTTAAGGATTAATTTATATGTAGTTTAAGACAGTGCATTCCCGGGATTGGCAACTATTGCGTCAATAATAAACTAGCAAATGAAATTAACAACCCAGTCCCTAGAGTAAACTAGCACAGTCAAAAGTTTGTAAGAGTAGATCTCGCGGGTCGCCCAGAGGAGATAAGAGTTGAGTGGATGT